GTTATATTTTTGTGTGCAGGCTTCAGATACAAACCAGAAACTCCTAGACCTTCAGTCTTTTGTTAGATTGGGTCATAGAGGTGTAGATTTAATGGTAATTTTAGGAGAAGTATTATATGGTATATGGTATTTAACAACTATCCAGTGGTGTGTATCTATTTTATAGAGATCATCAATCTTCTACTTGCCCGTACCCTGGGTTGAATCCACTAAAGGATTATAAACTGCTCACCTACCAAATTAATGTTTATTTGGCAAAGTTCACAATACTTCAAGGTGTGTTTTAACTTCAATCAACTAACCACGTGCTAGCAGAACTGTTTTTTATTGAATACACGATCATGTGTGAGTGCAAAGTGAACACTGGTTTGCCCTTTTGACCAATCTGCACTTTGCAAAGTGGACTGTCTCTACTGCTTTAGTAAATCAACCCACCTGTTTGGCTAATCCTGGCATTCTTTTTGAGGCTGTTTATCTTAACAAATTGTTTTGCCAGTGCACCTAGTATTGGTCCACCATTTAGCCTCTTTTGAACTATGCTAGTTGTCTTATGCTAATATAAAAAAATCACACATCCGAGTGCTACACATCGTCAAATGTAAAGAGATTTTGCAAAGATAGGGTTTGTACCAAGTAGGCAGGGAGGGTATAGACAACTGACAGAGGGCTATATCCCTTACTCACTGTCAACCTGTCAACTTCCAGGATGTCCTGTGCCTGATCCTGTTTACAGACAAGGAAAAGGCATTAGACCAGATAGACTTGGGACTTGTGTAGTACCATGCTGTTATGGATCTCAGCATTATACTGGAATTCCTTGGCCAGGATTAAAGTTAATTATGCCCACAACTGTGAATGGCATGTGCCATAGGGTTATGGTGGACACTCTTTCTCTCTTACGTTCACCCTTGCAGATTTGGGACTCCTTGAACAAGTCAGGGACTTGAGCTCCTTTTTCCTCACCCCTCTTAATCTTAAGAAAGCAATTATAATTCCTTCATGAGTGGACCGGAGGGGAGGTGGGGGGTTGTGCGCACATCTGCTGCTTCTCTTAGACTTTTGCTTAAAGACCCTAGTGGATTCTGAATCCCATGGATGAATGGAAACATGCACAACTTGCAGCCTTTTTTGTAGTTTGGGAAGCAATGTTAGGCCTGTCAGCGCTTTGACTCCTTTTGAATCTATGTGTACAAGTAGAAATACCTTCATTAAACTGCTATCTACTATGTACAAACTACTTTTGGGACAAGAATCTCAAATTACACGCTATTGTATGAGAGGGAAAGGAGCTTGGGAGAACAATACCCCACGCCCTACTGCCCAGGATTACCTTCTGTAGGGAGCTGTGAAGCGTTATTGGAAAGGTGACACAGCAATATATTCCTGAGTACCCATTTGCAGTATTCTTCCATGTAAGCCATTAAGTTCTAGGGTCCCATAACAGGTCCCTGGTACCTCATCTTTTAAATGCACGGAAAAGTTTGATACCACTAGAATGGAAATCTTGCAGAGCCTCCTTAAAGTACCATGGAAGCCAAGGAGTGGCTACACAAATCTCAGGATAAATTCCTTTACAAAACCTAGGCAGTTTTGTATTTTTTGCTATTTCAGATTATTATAAGAATCTAATGATCCAACCATAAGAAAGAGGCAATTTATTTATTTCTCATTTGAGCTACGGGACTTGAGCATGATGTATTATTTGCTTATCCAACATGGCAACACATTTTTGGCAAGTGTTCCATAGTTTGATGTAATTTTTCTTTCTTTTTACTTGGACTACATTCACACATATATTTAGGCGTGATTTGGGATTCTTGCATCAGGAACTTGCGATTTCCCAAAGCAGGAATCCCTAACCTTCCTTTTACAAGTGGCAGCTATCACCTGTTTAAGTTAATAATCGAGTGCCGTTGTATTTGAACGCTGGCACACAGCATGTAGTCATATGTGATACGATTACATGCGGTTAGGAATCAATCACTCTCCCTGGGTGCATGATTGATGCGCGAATAGGGCCTTACCCCTCCTAACCTCAATTTCCCCTCTGTGCCTGGTTATCTCATTGGGCCTGCCCTCCCCATTCCTAGTCATCTCTAATTTTTTTCCCCTTGTATGTCTCAATATGTACATACAACCAAGTTATATGGAGAACAAAAATTATTTCACCTTGGATATCACTACGCATACACTTCTGCATTGTGTGACTATGAACTGTGTAGTGTATGCAAAAACTGTGTAACATCCTTTATGTTCCTCTTTAATGTCATTTGAGTTGTATGCATTCCTTTTAGTTAGTACCTGTATTTTGATATGTCCAATTTACACGAAAGGACACCAATCAAACCATCAAATAAAAACATCACATCCAGCGCTTAATCCTAACATTTCCCTCAAATATCTTTTATGTCTCTCTCCACTGTTAAAAATAAAAAATACTACACACTTTTATTGGTGGTATTTCTGACATTGGTCAAAAAATGGTGTATCGCTTTAAGGGCAAACGAGACTTAAATACATTTTGATGGCAGAGTAGGATTTCTAGTAGAGGCATATTGGTGATATTAATTTAGCTTTCTCCTGAGGTGTCTGCAGGCATTATACTAAAATAGAAATGTATGTGTCCCCTGCCCTGATATTGCACCCAGCGTCATTATCCCTGTAGGTCTTCTCTCCTGATAAAGCATGTTTTGAAGTTGACCTTTAAACAATATTAAATTGGTTGGATAAAGCAGAAGTGACACATGGCATGGAATATATTTTATGAGCTTAGATGAAATACTCCTTGTATTTTGTAAATTGTCACAAACCTGTGTAGGTAAGGTTTAGGAAGTTATGAAAAAAATGCATAAACGGACATTACATTCAGTAAAAACCCTACATTAAAGCAAGCAACAGATCCAGGGATATTGGCAGCTGAGGTTATATCTACTACTACGTTTTCCTTTAAGAGATGTGAAGCCCAACCTTTCTTTTTTGGGGGCTTTACTTCTCTTTTGGGTCCCATGGGTATATTTACTAATGTACTCCTGCAACCCCAAGTCAACTGATGCAGAACTATGCCACGGTCAAGAAGGATCCCAACAATAACTTCAAGAGGCACCCTGGCTGCCTAAAGGACAGCTTGCTCTACCTTTAGACATGTGCGATTCGTTTCGTTCCAAAACAAAATTCGGACGAATTTTCGGAAATTCGGATGTATCCGAATTCCAGATATAACGAATGCAAATGAATCCAAATTTCCGTTTCCGAAATTCATTAACGGTAGCTCGTTAGAACGTTCGTTTCGTTTTCGTTTCGTTCGTTCATTCTTTGCAGCAAAGTGACATTAGAGAAGGAGAAAAAAAATGTTCCCCCTCAAATGTCACATTGCTGCATTGAACGAATTAACTAAACGAAAAAGAAACCACTAAACGAACAGTCGAACGAACTACCGCTAACTAATTTCGTCCGAACCCAAATTCTGAATCCGAATTGACTTTCACACCTGAATCCCGAAAAACAGAATAACACAAAATCCGAATCAAAACGGAACTAAACAAATTTTTTGCCAGTGCACATGTCTGCTCTACCTCTCTGCATATAACTCAGAGCCAGAGCAAGACACAACTGCCTTCTCCCTCCCCGGCCTGCAGCTCCAGCCAGTGCTGGACATAGAGTTTCATCTTTTAGATTTAGTAAGACTTTTGCATTGTTGTATTTATGTGCGCTAATAATGATTTATAGTGTACTTTTATTGAAAATATAGTTTTAATAAACATTTGCTTATGTAGCATCATCTTTTAATTCTACAGGCCCTGTGCTTTTAGAAAATATGACTTGGGAGTCTTTTACCAACCTTCAAAGCTGGAAGTGAAAAATAGCAACAACAAAAAGTTAAAAAAATAGCAAAAAATAGGCCACCTGAAGTGAAAAATAGGAGGCTAGACCAGACCCCGAAAGGGTTAAAGCCAAGCTCCAGGAAGAAATAAGACACACATTAATGTATCTAGGTATTCATTAATTCATGATTTATATATTTTTTTTATATTTTCTAAATGCAGCTAGTATAAATATCTGAATTTGACTTGGCATCAGGTCCTTTAGATCCACTACACTGTAGGATCGGGAGTGAAAGGGGCTGGGCTAGTAACCAGTTAGATGTGCTGCATGCGAATGTGCTGTTCAAGAACATGCTGAACACCATCCAATCAGTAGGCTGAAGGTGGACATAGAATACTCCCTCTACAATCAATAACCATAATAGAGAAAGTGGTGTTTTCTGTCTAGATGTGCTGTGTGGCTATTCTGACTCCGATTGTTGTGATAGCGATGTATACCTTGTGAGACTTCTATGCCTGGCCTGTATAAGTAGATTCAATCACTGAGGACATTCATTGTCAGATAGCTGAACTCACCAATACCGTTTCATCCACAAAGATTGCTTTATTCTGCACATCAGACAACAGGATACAGCAGATGGATGGTTTTCAGTATTATGCGGTCAAAAGATGATGCCTTTCCTAGGGTACTCTGCAGAGTACATGTGTCCTTATTACATGTGGCTGTTAGCTGTGGCCATGACACAGGAAATACTGACCAACAAGAAAAAGGGTGGGGCATACATACAGAGGAAATGTGTCATCACATGAGGAAAGGAATACATAAAAAAACAGGTGCAATATCACAAAAGGCCACTAGATGGCAGCATATAACTAACGTATAGAAAACGTCCATAGGAAAAGGTATAGGGAAACAATCTATATAAATTCTTTCTACATTAAACTTCTATGCCCCATTGGGGCGGCACAGTGACCACACTGTTTAAATCTCAGAACGGAACAGACGGGAATACAAATTCTTTGGCAGTTATATCACCTCCCTTTTATAGTATTTCATTTACCGGTTTGATTGGGGTTCAGCTTTAATGCTTGAGAAAAAAACATTTTTGAAGAATAAATGCCTAAACTAATGAAAGACTGATTCATGTTTAGTTTTCTCTTCTATTCTTTTGCTTTCAGGTGTCAAGGTTAGCTGGCGTTTTGGCAAAGTATGGTGTCAAGAAAGGAGACCGGGTTGTCATATATATGCCAATGATACCCCAGGCAATGTATGCAATGCTGGCATGTGCCAGAATTGGAGCTATACACAGCTTAATATTTGGAGGATTTGCACCAAAGGAGTTATCAGTGCGAATTGATCATGCAAAGGTAACAATTTTATGCAGTATGTCAATATTTGTTTTAAAATTGTTTGCTTTAAAGTGTCATCTGCTGATCTGTTGGATATACAGAGAAATGAGGACATATAGGACCATAGCAGTGACAATCAAACACACACATAAACGAAAACATAGGAAGTAGAACCTTCCCCACTGCAAGGGTAGTACAAATTTTTGCCCAGAGTTGTTCTTTAAAAAAAACTTTTTTTTTTAATTGACTCGGAAATGGCAGGAGGCTCTTAAGGGCTTCTTCAGACCTGTGCAGTGCGGTAATGCACGGTAGATGGTGCAGCATGCTGTGGTTCCATTCAATTTGAAAGGAAACCTAATGCACCTTGCTAGCACATCTCAGTGTGCATACATCTTAATGAAGAGATTTGAACCATCTTTGCGTTGATTCTTTTATTGGACCAGAAATGATTGTGGGCCAAGAAAATCTGTGTTGTGGCCTGTTGGCTGCCTCTTCAAAATGATTGGCTTCCTTACTGCAACACACATTTACCCACGTGCAGTTACGACACACAAAGCAGCTGACCTGTCTGAATGGGCCCTAAAGAGACACTGTTATTACAGTTAGGCCTTGTTCATGTGTCTGTGAAGGTTCTCATTCCTCCAGGTCATGGTATATCTGTAAAAAATAAGTCAAGGCAACTGTACTTGCTGTATTTTTCTTGAAGACGTTTCACTGGACATCCGGCCAGCTTTCTCAATTCAGAATGACTTGTACAAAAAATTTATGTGAATAAATATGGTAAATGTTGCTCCAATCCACATAATCTGTTAGTGGCAACCAGGTGTTGATTGCTTTTGCATAATTGGAGCTAGGATGTGGTTTGCAAGGAGGCAGTAAAGCCAGGCAGTTAATCTGTGGTTCTACCACCCCCTTGACACCTGCTGCTATGTCAGCACTGCAGCTGAACAGTGCTGTATACATTGACGCAGCCACAATGCTTTGCGTCGCAGCATGTCAAAAAATGTACAGCATATTGCATTTGGCAGACGGTGCCGCTTGTCAAATGCAATCATTGCAATGCATTCGACTGCGTTGAAACCACAGTATGGCAATAGAAAATCTCTATTGGCATTTTTAAAAAACTGCATTCAGGAGTCAGCAGTATCGCCTCCTGAACACTGGGCAGCGGCTGCTCCACTGCCCTCTGAAAAGCAATTTGCAGTGGATTGCTTGTCAGAGAGCAGTGGAGACTGCCGCCTCTGTGAACTCAGCCGTCCTATAAAAACTGGTTTGTAATATACATATGTATAATGCATGCAATTTGTGCCTCCAAATCTGTTCTTTCACTCTTCTGCAGATTTAGAAGCACTGCTAAAATCATTAAACAACTAACATGTTGGATGCTATTATTAATCCTACGTCTCCCTGCTGCACTCACTGTGGCTTCCCCTAACCTCATTAACTTGTAATGGCATCTTTAGGTTACTATAAATGTATTATGTACCCATAGTGTTAGTACTTGGTATAGCTTGGATCAAAATTCTTTGTAACTGTTCACTGTATTGAATCTGCTTATCATGACCGTGATATTTAATGGTTGTCATGATTCCTACTATGAATAAATGATATATGTGTATGTTTCTGCAGCCCAAGTTAATTGTGACAGCATCCTTTGGCATCGAACCTGGCAGGAAAGTGGATTACATCCCGCTAGTGGAGAAAGCGCTGGAAATGGCACAGCACCAACCAGAGAAAGTTCTTATTTACAGTAGACCCAAAATGGTGAGTAGCACTATCCCTCGTGACACCCTTATATAGATGTGCTTTTCTCTCTGCTGTAAACTAGAACATTTATTAATGAATTCACCCCGTAATAAGGATGCTACAGAAGTCAAAGTTTTGTTTACCATCACAAAGGGAACGTGAGTCATAGTTTGTCAAGTTGAAGAGCTCATTAGCTTATTTTATCCGACTGTTGCAGTTTGGATGACATTTGAAAGGGAATATTTGTTGTATTTCTTTGTGTCCCAGTGGATTGAAGAAATGAAAAGTATTTTTTTTGGATGGTATCGTAAGCTTGGTTTAAGCAAAGATTAAACTCTGCAGCGTTGGCGTTTCTCCCAGAAGATATAAAACATTCTTGTAATAGGAAGCAATGGGTACAGTGCATAACTGATATTTAAAACGGTGTAGGATAAATGATACCTTCTGAAAATAGACTTCTACCATGCGAATACTATACTGCTCTGGATAGTTATACGTTTAAAGCCATTAACAGACTTCTGTTTGAAGGATCATATTTAGAGCTGTATCCTAATGGTTGCATCCTAAAAGTTGATTTCTATAAAACAGTATTACATAAGCTTCATTTTTGGATTGCTTTATTTCAAATATGGTTTATCACAAAAAATAGTACATTTTAACCATCAGTTAATGCATAATGTTTGGGGTTTCAAGTGATGTCCTGTATTGGCTAACTTAAAGCTGATCAATATTGTCTAAATACAAGGAACATGTGTATTCTTGAATCTTGGTGGGCTTTGTGTATTTCTTCCATACCTGTGCATAGTCATATCCAGCGTGAAACTTTACCTCTGTGCAGTAGCTCCTGTCCTAAAGACTGCTACTCCCTTTTCTTGTGCAGGATGACTGGACTTTTAACTGCCCCCTCCTGTATTTTTCTGCAGACATATTGTAGTGGGTGGAGCCTGCCGGTCACCTCCCAAAGCTCTGTACAGGCTGTACAGCACAGTGATAATGTCACTGCTACTTTTACAAGGAAATATCTCTCTACACAGGCATTTAGTGCACACAATGTGAATTTCTATTATTTATGGCTATAGAGCAATATATTTAACCACTTTCCGGCCGGCTGTTGTAAAAAAACGGCCGGCCAGGAACTCCATAGATCTGAGCGGGCGTCTTTAGATGTCCGCTCAGCCACGCCCCCTCGCGCGCGCCCAGCGGGAAATGCTCGTTATTTGAAAACAGGCAGCGATGCCCGTTAATATACAAGCGACCATCACTTGTATGAGGTCCCGTGATGTGCGCCCCCTCCCCGGCTCCCCCCCTCCAGCTGTCAAGCTGGTCCCGGGCTCCGCTGTGCCCGGTGCAAGCCCGGGACCAGCATACGGCCTCTGTCACAGGGGATCAGAGGGAGCTCGATACACGAGCTCCCTCCGGGCCCCTCTCCGCTGTCAGAATGTGAAACTGATGTATATTACATCACTTCTGCATTCTTGTGTCACTCTCCAGCTTCAGATGCTGGAGAGAAGCTGATGATCTCTGCTTCATCAGCTTCTTCAGGGGGGTCCTAGGTGACAGGGGTCTTGGAGACCCCTGATGTCTCCATAAAGAGGACCTGTCACATCTTTTGCTATCACCTAAGGGGGTTTTCCAACCCCCCTATGTGATAGTGTAGCACCTTGCTAAAAAGGAGTGCTAGATCATATATATAGTCTATGTTCAGTTCAACTGTGACAGAAGCATCTGTGAAGCTGTGTCTGCCTGTGGGTGGGTGTGTTACCACACAGGGCAGAACAGCCAATGAGGATTGCTTTGGGCATTTATGTCTCCCAGCCAATCACTGCAGGACAGTAACAGTGATGCATGCTGGGAGAGGATATAAATGCTGAGTGTGGCTGATGCAATAGTCTCTTCCTTCCCCACCCCAGGGCCCTCCTGGCCTGGGGCAGGATGCTTGCTGCTGAAGAGATAGAATGGACTAGGCCTGAACTGGGGCCTAGGCCTGGACACTGGGGCCTGAGCCTGAACAAGACCCTTGACAGTACTGCTTGCCAGAAGTTCTCCACACAGATTGCCTGTATGGCTTAAAGGTCCAAGTCTGTGGTGGCAGCAGTTACTTTGCTCTGTTTCATGTACAAGGAGTCTACCTTCATTGTGGATGTGCTTGACCCTCTTCCCTCTCTCCCTGGAGTTACAGCAATAAAGAGCATTATCTTGGAGCTATTGTCTGGACTTCAATCTGTCGGTAACCACTGGAAGTGGTAAGTGCTATTGGGGCAGCTATGTGTTTTTAATAATCCCTAGACAGGCTATGGAAGACCCAATCATTCAGCTGCTCCTTCGGGGGTGAGCGCTACAATAGCAATAAAGTTAAGTGGGAAAAAAAAATAAAACAATTAATTTAAGTTTCCCCCCCAAAAATGTAAAGTTAAAAAAAAATTGTAATTCTTTATTTGTAAAGTCCCCACATAAATACTTGCATGCAAACGGGTGCGCATACCTGCGAAAACGACGATTTTGCCCATTACGCCGCACGTCGGAATGAGAGCAATAGTTCTAGGGCCATCAATCACTGATAGCACTAAACTGATGAGCTGTAAAAGTTTTTAAAGCGTCGCCTATGGTCAATTTTGGGTATGGTAGTTTTTTGCGGTTTCGCGGGTGCACTCAATTTTAAAGCTTGACATGTTTGGTGTCTATTTACCCGACGTGACACCGTCTTTTATATTTTACCAAAAATATGGGTAATAATCATTGTTTCCTAACATAATTTTTCCTTAATATAGTAAAAAAAAATAAAAACCCCAGTGGTGATTAAATACCACCAAAAGAAAGCTCTATCTGTCCCCAAAAAATGGTATAAAATTCATTTCAGTACAGCGTTGCATGACGGAATAAACTTCAGTCAAAGTACTGCAGCGTTGAATACTGAAAAATGGCCTGGCCAGGAAGGGGGTCTAAACACCTGGTCTTGAAGTGAATACAAATTTTTGTACCTGGAGTTCAGCTTTTAGTTGTTATAGATGCAAGCTTTTGAAACCAGTGAGGTTCCTTGTGTAGACAATATACAATTCTCTATCATTGTGTAATGCCTGTGTACCCTATGAAGTGTATCTCCTAAATGTAAAACTTTCTTCTTAAAGAAAGAGTCTTCCGGGTTATACTTTCTCATTGAGTTTCTGTTAGAAAAAGGGTCTGCTGTGCTTCCTTTTATCTTTTTTTCACCATAACCTTATGGGTAATACTTTTTCATACAGTAAAATACATAGAAAAATAAATATACAATGTAAAGTAAAAAAGAAAGTTTATATGTTCGTTTAAATATCAGTGTATTATATATAATGGTACAGAATTTAAAAAGAGAGTGACTTCCAATGTGCAATACAATATCAGATCAATGTACGACATATAATAGTAAATAATTTTAAAAAGACCCTTTTGCAGTGTACATGTTTGTGCATTCTGATTTAAAGTCTTCTGGCAGTAAAGTGTATGTGTAGCATATTTTTTTGTATATATAGAGTAGGGAACTGATGCTAGGTTGTTTATTTTGCTGTCTATGTACCATTGGGAAAAATTCCTTTGACTTCCTGTCCCAGAGACTCAACTGGAAGTTAGTGGAAATCTCTCAACGTGAAGAGAATATCCCTCCTAGACAGTTGTCCCCGGTACAGATGTCCCCATTGGAAGATTACTGCTTATTCTGGGAACAACTCTAATATTTTTCCTACTTTCTTTCTCTGATAGTGGTCACCAGTACACACAGAGGGGTGAACCTCCTCAGTGGAGACACCTAGCAATAAAAACTAGATGGGGAGTCTACCCTTTCCCCATTCTGTCTAGAACAAAAAACTTTATTGGGGCAAGTTGAGGATGTGGAAAATATAACTGAAGACCGTTGAATATCAACATAATATATCTGTTAATTGATAAAATATAAAGTGGTGTTTCTGAACCTTTTATTCCGTTACAGCACCCTTTCAAAGTATGCAAAAGTTAAATGCAAGTTTAAAATGTAGAACCAATGTGTGGCTCCTCCAATATCCATACACAACCTTTATCCCAGATAGGGGTCTGGTATGGATTTTAAGAGAGATACCACGCAAAAACACATAACATGGGGTTCCTCCAAATTAGGAGTTATCTTTTACATCACTGCCCCCCTTAACATCAAAACCCTCCTTCCACATAAGAATTCCCCATTTTCACATAAAATCATCTCTTTTACATCAGAGAGCCCCCCCTCTTTACAATCAGGAGACGCAGCCGCGGCAGCATGGTAGAGGGTGGGAGGCAAACTTCTGTCCTTTTCCTAATTGATTTCACCCTCTCTGGATCAGCGTCATTCTTTTTCATGGTGCTGGCAGCCTGCCTGCACCATGCAAAGGTATGAAGTTATGTGAAAATATAGAGGCACCCCAGGGTCTCACGGTATTAAGACTTCTCGCCTGCGCCAATAAGTGAAGGGACCTTGATGTGGAGGATGGTTGTAGAGCAAATATGTATAAATGAAGCAAAATGAATTCTATAAATGAGGATGCAAATGTAAACTGAGCATTTTTACAATACATCTTATACAGTATATCTTTCTTTTTAGGCACTGTGTTGTGTTATCCACGAGGTTAAAACCAAGTAGAATTGTTACATTAATGATGAAGTGCTTTCCAATGATGCTAGTGTAAACAGTCCACACGTGTAATCCTTATGAGATCCTCCAGAATCCATTAATAAAGAAATGTTGGGCTTTTCTGAGTACTGCCCTCACCCACAAGATTTGATTGACCAATAAATATTATTTGGGTAGCATTTATAAATAATTCTCAAAGTGAAGTCTCCTCTCCTCTGATCAATATTCAACTAACATTTTCAGATACAATATTTATTGGCCCATTAAATCTGGTGAATAAAGGCAATGCTCAGAAAAGTCCAATGTTTCTTTATTAATGGATTCTGGAGGATCTCATATAAGGATTGCACTTTAATAAGAAGCACTTTTGGACTGTTTACACTGGCACTATTGGGAAGCATTTTATCATGCTGATTTGACACATTTAACCACTTCAAGACCAGGTGTTCAGACCCCCTTCCTGGCCAGATTGCTCCTGGCCGGCCGTTTTTTTACTACGGCCGGCCCGGAGGTAGTTAAATAAGGAACCTTTGCATTATTGTTTTATTAATTATCTTTTTTAATGTATCTATTGAGTTTGGGCTATTTAGAGTAGTTATATTAGCGCAGAGTGGTTGTGGATTTTATAGATGCGTGTGGTGCATTTTATACACCAGCACACCTGCTGCTTTATTAGGATAATTTAATTTAGGTGGGTAGGATTAAGCCTAGGAGCGCAGATATATTGAGAAAAGTCTTTTCTAAACAAGCTTTCAAGACCTCTATAAGATCAGGCGAAACTACACTTGTTACTGCTTGACCTAACTTAGGAGGTAAATCTCTCAAAATTACATCCAGGAAAATGTATAGAAAACAATGTAACTGGATACTCTAGAAAATGAACTTGCTGCTTCCATCATGTTGACCTGCTGTGTAAGAGCCACAGATATTACTGTCTCTCTGACACCTGCAGATATCAATTGGTGCTTTGTCATAACAACCGTTCAGCTAACATTTTTTTTCTTTTTATAAAAAAGGATATGAGTTTTATTTTTTCTTATAATCTAGGAAAGGGGCTTTATAAACATAAAAAAGCAGGGTTTTTTTTGTTTTCACAAAATTGCTAATATTTCAGCAGCTTTCATCCTGTGTTTTATCATATAAAATAGTATTATTATATTATACAGGATTTATATAGCACAAATAGTTTGCTCAGCATTTTACAATATAAGGAAGACATTACAATACAATTCAAGACTAGATGGTAAGAAAGGCCCTGCCCGTGAGAGCTTACAATCTAAAAGGGAATGGCAAGTGATACATGAGGAGGTAGCTGTGTAGGGATGAATTGTTTGAGAATGTGATAGTTCAGTGGTTAGTTAGAGTCGGGTTAGGCTTCCTTGAAGGGAAGTGTCTTTAGGGATCACCTAAAGGCAGTCAGAGTAGGAGACAGACTGACAGGTTGGGGTAAGGCATTCCAGAGGATGGAAGAGACTCCAGAGAAGGAGTCGACGAGTGAGCTGGAAAGCATGAGGCCTTGGGAAGAGCAGAGGGGACAGTTAGGGTGATACATTTAAGACAAGGTTGGAGATATAGCCAGGGCAGAGTTGTGGATGGCTTTGTAAGCGGTTAATATTTTGATTTTTATCCTTTGGGCTATTGGAAGCTAGTAGAGGGATTGGCAGAGGGGGGTTGCAGACACTGAGTGGTTGGTTAGGTGGATGAGTCTAGCAGCAGCATTCATGATAGACAGAAGGGGGGATAGCCTATGTAGAGGTAGGCCAATGAGGAGGGAGCTGCAATAGTCAAGATGAAGGATAACAAGTGAGTGGATGAGTAGTTTTGCGGCTTCATTGGTGAGGAATATGAAGGTGAAGGCGGCAGGATTTGGATAGTGATTGAATGTGGGGCAAAAAGGTGAGGTCTGAGTCAAGGATGGCACCTAATGGAGGAAATATCATGAGCTTAGTTTTTGAAAGATTGAGTTTTAAGAAATGTTGTGACATCCAGACTGATATCTCACTTAGTAGATTAGTGACACGCAAGGACACTGAGGGGCTAAGTTGTGGAGTAGAAAGATAGATTTTAGTGTCATCAGCATAGAGATGGTATTGGAAGCCATGTGAGGTTATCATCTGACCAAGAGAGGAAGTGTAGATGGAGAAGAGAAGGGGTCCAAGGACAGAGCCTTGGGGGACCCCTACAGAAAGAGGAGGGGAGGAGATAGATCTGTGGGTGACGCTAAAGGAGCACTTGGATAGATAGGAGGAGAACTATGAGATAGCAGAGTCTTGTAGGCCAAGCGAGTGGAGCTTTTTGAGGAGCAGTGGGTGGTCAACGGTGTCAAAAGCAGCAGAAAGGTCTAAAAGCAAGAGTAAGGAGTAGTGGCCATTGTTTTTAGCAGTTAGTAAGTCATTAGTGAGCTTTAGGAGGGAGGTTTCAGTGGAGTGTAGGGGACGAAAGCCGGACTGTAATAGGTAAAATAGGTTGTTATCAGCGAGGTGGCAACATAAATCTGATTATGCGAACACCACATCCCACGTGTCAATATTAGCATTAACTCTTAATAAGAGCTCAATTGGACTTTATAGGTGTCCATGTAGTATAGTAAAACTACAGTGGAGATATAAAAATCATAAAAATGTTTTATATCCTTTTGTGAGAAATATTGATACATGGCTTCCAAACTACAACAATAGATTTGTTACAATGTATTAGCACAATAACCCTGTGCCTATTCTTTTCATATTCATGGATGTGGTTGATGGTTAAAGTGATACTATACTCAGGAGTTAAATCCTAAAAATGCATTCAAGTACCTTAACTATTAACAAAAATGTAACTTATTTGTGTATCACTCAGCTGTAGATCCTCAAATCATCTCTGAATTGGTGCTGACACTGTACTTCCTTCTGGAGGGTGGCTATTTTTATTCCACATGGTCCCTGTGTGTGTTGTAAAGTAGCCACCGCTCCAAGCTCACTCCTGTGATGAATTACAATCTCATGTTTAATTTCCTAATTTGTATTGAAATTATAGTCAATGCTAATGATTACATACCGTAGTTGGACCATTACCTGTAAGTTGGGTACGTGTGCATTTAAAGCGTGGCTGAAATTACTGAATTATTTCTGTCCCATTCCACTTCAGTTTCTATAGCGTCCAGGCTCCACCGCTGTACTGAAATTGCTCACTCTGATTTTACTCCATACTGTGAATACTGAGGCAGGGTGCTGTGATGGTTTTAGGAAGCTTTGTACAGCACCCTGCTGGCCTCTCCCACTAACCATAATCTTCTTGCATTTAATAGAGAGGCACAGAGACCCAATGATGGGTCTAAAAAGAGGTGCAGCATGTAATGAAAATGGAGAAGTTTTGTTTAAAAATGTAATTAGCATGTTGATGAGGTGGAAAGAAGGAACCATGGAAGGCAAAATTGAAGCAGATCAAACTTCTGCTGTTATTACTAAAATACAGAATCCTAATTACAACAGATTTGTATGGTCAAAAATAGCAAAGAATTATAAGCATTCATAGCCAAGTGTGTTACATATTACAATACTGTTTTATTGATAAACACATTTCCTTTTTATACAGGAACAGGTCAGTCTTATTCCTGGCCGTCATATTGACTGGGCAGAAGAGATTGCAAAAGCTAACCCTCATGATTGCATTCCTGTCGCTTCTGGTCACCCACTTTATGTGCTCTATACATCAGGCACAACAGGTGTTCCAAAGGTAAAGTATACCATTTTATCATGCGTTTATTACTTTTGTTTATATCCTTTGACATCCCACTGCACTGTTTATTGAATGTTCTTCTTCTATCTCCTTTTCTCATCCAACATTTTGCATAATGTAGAACAAAGGACAGGGTTTTCCTCCTGGAATGAGAACAAGATTTTGCATGAAAGTATATAGTGTGAAATGTTTGTTTTTTGTCTTTACCAACTATGTTGTAACTTTCTTCTGACATAGATAAATCTATATAAGCCATATAGTAAAATAGGTCTTGGCTTGTCCTTGAACACAGGGTGTAGTAAGGTGCACAGCCGGGTATGCTGTCATGTTAAACTGGACAATGTCAGCTGTCTATGGACTGAAGCCAGGTGAGGTAAGGGTCAGCTTCTGCTTTAAACTTACAAATTTAGCATATAATCGATCCAGATTCTAAACAAAAATGTGCTTCTGTTTCAGGTATGGTGGGCTGCTTCTGATTTGGGCTGGGTTGTTGGACATTCATATATTTGCTATGGACCACTGCTACATGGAAACACATCGGTATTGTACGAGGTAAGTGCTGTTAATACCTGTAAGTCATAAGTTATCTTCAGGTCTTTCCGAGTTATATAGCTGATGGAGAAAAAAAATTTGAGCTCACCTCTTCTATAGCTAAGATGGTGTTTTATTTGTGTATAAAATATAAAAAGTTCTGTATGGGAACAACCTTTTTTAAATATTAACCCAACCATGCCCCGAAGATGTCCTCAATTACTCTATAACACTTTTGTTATTCTCCAAATATTGTAAGAGATGCAGTGAAGTAAATGGACCATACTCCATATTTAGTGGAAAATCATAAAACACACCCTTATTGACTTCAAAACACTTTTCTTTTTCTCCAGTATTTGTATGATATACAAGGAAGTAAAGATACTGTACTCCATGTGTAGTGGAAAGTCATACAACCTAAAGATGTCCTCAGTTACTCCATAACTTTTGGTTTTCTCCAGTAATTGTATGATATACAAGGACGTGAAGAGACCATACTCCAAATGTTGAAACGCATTCACCAGATGTATAGGGCTACCCTATATAGGATTTGTATGCATGCTGACCCTTGGAAGAAGTCATGAAGAAGTGATGAAATGCGTTGGAGAGCGGGCCTACTAAAGTAAAAGCCTATGTGGCTTATCCTATATAGGGTAGCCCTATACATCTGTTTTTGAGGAATAATACACAATGGGAGGTACTTATTTCTTCCTTTGAGTGTATACTGAATAAGATTAAACCCAGAAGGAGAAGGATTGGAGGTGCCTGGTAATCTGGGGGAGGAGAAACATGTTCTGAAGGATACAAAGTGTATGTGGCTTATTCTATATAGGGTAGCCCTATACATCTGGCGAGTGCATTTCTTTGGATTAGACAGCACAGTGGTGTAGACTGGCTAGGCTATTTATGAATATAGAAGATTGAAATCACTTATATTGGTCCTTTGTGACACTAAAGGATAAGTGCATGTTACTGTCACATTAATATATATTTAGCAGCAAAAGACATGTTTGAAGTTGCTCTGTTTTGAAGTCAACACTGACATGTTATATAGTGTATTAATGTATATTATTTGTTTTTGATCAGGTTTCACTTATATTTGTTGTTATAATGTTATATATTTTATGCACATCGGTGTAATGTATTTGGGTTTATTTGTGTTCCAAAGCGCATTGCAGGTATATAATTTGTTCACAGTAGTTTCCACACTGTTAGCGCTGCAGCTTGTTAATCAAGGGAAAGGTATATAGCGTGGTTTAAAGGAAGAAGTATGGTATACAGTATGAAGTGGAGAATCCCCAATGTTAGCCCTGGTGTCTCTCCTGCCAGGCTCCATTTTGACAATGCATGAAGCTTTGTGGTTGAAGACATGCAGGTTTTACTCCACTGTGTCACCTAAAGTTGCTGACATTAATACTTTATTTGCATGATGAAACACAACAACATACTGAACCAATCAACTTCAAGCCATGCCTTCAGCTCATAGTACAGCTGAAGCAGTCTGTCTGGCCACATAGGAGGACCTAGAAGAGATCCTAGATGAGTCCTTTTCCTCCTACAGAATCTATAATTGTTCATATGATCGTAATTATATCAATGTTTACTGGTAGACCCTAGGAAACTTTTCATATTTGCTGACCCAGCTAATAAAAAAAATTACGCTACGAAAATTATGCATACCCCAGCTCCAATCTTCTACTGTCTAATATAGGAGTTTTAGTTTTTACCACTGGTCCAGGATAGATACAGTGAGGGGAATTTATAAAATCTGGAGCAGGCAGAATCTGAAGCAGTTGCTAATGGCAACCAATCAGCCTTTCTCTTCAGTTTGCTCAGGTAAGATTTGATGCCTGCTCCAGTTTTGATAAATTCCCCCCAGTATGTGTTAACTGCAAAATAACTTTTGATTTTTTGCTGCATTAATATTTGTAGGAAGTATTCATGGCATTTTAAGAAAGCATTCATCAAATGTGCAATGTATTGTGAATGTCTTTTCTTTTTTCTTTCTTCTTTCCACACAATGTATTTTAATAGATCATTTCTAATTTGGCTTAATCACCTGCCGTCATGACACAAAACAATAATACTTCCTGTAGGTAAAAGCTAGGTAAACCACTCACTGTTACCATGGAAACAGCAGGCGCTGGTGTTCTTTTTCATCTCTAAGCTTCTGCTTATGTTAACAAAATATAGATATAAACAGTGATTCACTTACTTGTGTAACAATATCTGAATGTTAGAAATAGTCGTAACATTTCCTATATATTTTAGGCAAAGTAACAATAATGCTACAGTTTATAAAACCATCCATCCAGCTGCATAAAACTGAGTCAAGGCTAGTTTGTGTATGTAAAGTATATATATCTATGTGCGTGTGTGTGTATGTATTGTGTGTGTATGTATATGTGTATGTATATATAGCTCAAAAAAATTAAAGGAACACTTTGAAAACACATCAGATCTCAGTGGGGAAAAATATCATGCTGGATATCTACTGTATACTGGACTGGGTAATGTGTTGGGTACGAAGGGATGCAATATTGTTTGATGGAAAGGAAAAATTAACAACCTAAAGAGGGCTGAATTCAAGGACACCCCAAAATCAAGTGAACACTTCATCTGTCAATAAATGAGCATCTAATTGCTGTTATTATCGTTGTTGCAGTGCTGGTGACGTCTTTCTTTTTATCTACGTGTGGCGGCGCCATCCATTGTCATTTACGAGCACCCGTCTTTTTTTGGGGAGTCCTGGTAAGGAGTGCTGCAAGTTTTCTTTTTTGTTCTGTCCTGTTTCTTATGCTACCATTAGTGACACTGCCTCTAGCCAAATGCAACACTAGTGAAAAACAGTCAGGAAAGATGAGTAGGGAAAAAAATTTCAGTGGCCTCCTCCTGTAAAACCATTCCTGTTTTGGAGGTCATCTCATTGTTGTTTTATATGAAGATTATATATATATATATATATATACACACACACACACACACTCACCGGCCACTTTATCAGGTACACCTTGCTAGTACTCAGTTGGGCCCCCGTTTGCCAAAATGTTGGAAACATTTTGGTCCATATTGAGATGATAGCATCACAGGCCCAAAGTGGGCCAAGAAAATATCCCCCACACCATTACACCACCGCCACCAGTCTGAACCGTTGATACATGGCAGGATGGATTCATGCTTTCATGTAGTTTATGCCAAATTCTAACCCTACCATCTGAATGTCCCAGCTGAAATAGAGACTCATCAGACCAGGCAACATTTTCCAATCTTCTATTGTCCAATTGTGGTGAGCCAGTCCGAATTGTAGCCTCCGTTTCCTGTTCTTAACTGACAGGAGTGGCGCCAGGTGTGGTCTTCTGCTGCTGTAGCCCATCTGATTCAAGGTTTGATGTGTTGTGCATTCAGAGATGGTATTCTGCATACCTTGGTTGTAACAAGTGGTTATATGAGTTACTGTTGCCTTTCAATCATCTCAAAGCAGTCTGCCCATTCTCCTCTGACATCAACAAGGCATTTTCATCCACACAACTGACGCTCACTGGATATTTTCTCTTTTTTGGACCATTCTCTGTAAACCCTAGAGATGGTTGTGTGTGAAAATCCCAGTAGATCAGCGTTTTTTTAAACACTCAGACCAGCCCGTCTGGCACCAACAACCATTTCACATTCAAAGTCACTTAAATCCTTTCTTCCCCATTCTGATTCTTGGTTTGAACTTCAGCAAGTCGTCTTCACCACGTCTAGATCCCTAAATGCATTGAGTTGCTGCCATGTGATTGGCTGATTAGCAGTTTGTGTTACCAAGCAATTGAACAGGTGTACCTAATAAAGTTGTCGGTGAATATATATCTCCAAAGTAGGTATAAAGGCACTCAGAGTTTTGCAGCAGATATAATTCAAAGCAGCAGCATTTTATTCTTAATGTTTTGATGGAGCTCAGTCTGTTCATCTTCATAAAGATAAGTGAAGTGTCCTGATAAATATGGACTAAGCTCCATTGAAACAATGACAATAAAGTTGGTGAAGGAACAAGAAATATTCATCACTATTGCTGTTTATATATGGACATCTTCAGAGTTATTAACATTTATAGACTTCACATCCATTTACCACTCATTCACTGACATTTGTTTGTGTCACAGATTCTTCTTGGTTTTTTTTTATTACTCATTGTTGTAGCACGGCACATTTAGCTATTCATGGATAAGTATCTGCTTGTATTTCTCAGAAATAATTTTCCTGTTGCAGATTATCCCTCACTTCTTCTCTGGTAAAACATTGCAAGAAATTTGGCAGGCTTCTAGGGTAGAAAGCTTAGCAAATTTCTACCATCCCCTGTTATGAAGAAATAGCTGTGAGGAGAATTTATCAAAACTGGAGCAGACAAAATCTGGAGCAACTGTGCACTGCAACAAATCAGCTCCTTTCTTTCATTTTCAAATCCTAACTGAAGAAACTCAAGAGAGAAGCTAATTGGTTACTATGGGCAACTGCTCCAGATTTTGTCTGCTCCAGTTTTGATAAAGTCCCCTTTGTGTTTTATCATGTCCTTTCCAGACTAATTCCTAAATGAGGGCCACTCTGCATTAGGGCTGCAGCTAATGATTATTTTCAAAATCGATTAGTTGCCGATTATTTTTTCAACTAATCGATTGGTTGCAGTAAGAAAATCTCCCCCTCTCTCTCCCCCTCTCTCTCCTGCATCTCTTCCCCCCCTTTCTCTCTCTCTCTC